TTAAATTAAGACAAATGTTTTAGCAATCAAAATCATTCAGTTCATCTTCAACCCAGCAGTTATCTAAGTTAATTCACATAATGTTATGTTAAATATCTCAAAATACTTGGGCAAAAACGCTTAGATTGATCACAGTTAGACAGAAACACCGTTGGATTCCAAATCAGTTGTCCAGAGGTTAGTCGTTTGCGCGCAAGAACAAAGGTTCTGGGTTCGAATCCTGTGAGTAACTGGAGTCGTCACTGTGCTTTGCTGATGAGTCCCATACCAGAACGAAACGGCCGTTCAGTGCTTCCAAGTTTTTAATGGTGGTCTAACAATGATTAATTGGTGATTAATTTTATTTATCAAATATTATTACATTTTTAGTAAATATTTTGTTCAGTGTTCTTTTGTGTTCGATAAAATGATCTGTAAAACTAATCCGGTTATATTATTTGAATAAAATCAATACCAAAATATTTTAATTAAGAGAATTTAGTTCTAAGAAATCAGAAAAAGTAAAAAATAAGAGGTTAGTTTTATTCTCAACAATGAAATTAATTGTACGTGTTATTTTGTTATTATTATGTAACTCAAAGAAAACAAAATCATTACATTACTCTTACTAGTTATCACAGAATCAAAGTCGTCTAATTATCTCATCCATCAATCAATCATTTAAAATGTTATGCTAGTCACTTGATATGTTCGAAACTATTAAGAGTTCACCTTAGTCGATAAACGAGAACGAGACAATGAACCGGCGTCACAGTAGGCTACTCTGATCCACTGCCCCAAACTAACTGACGAAAAGTCTTGATATAGCGTAGAAAGTATATTCTACAAACACCCACCCAGCACACTATGATCTCAAGCACACAAATCGCGTCTATTCATGCATCATCGAAACGTCCTAAGAAGAATTACTAAAATAACACATCAACCAATCACAGCCAAGATTTTTCCTGTTTGGAATAGTAATCTCAAGGTCAATTGATCAGCCCATGAATAAATTCGAAAATTAAGGCCTTTATCAAGCGAGTTCTAGGGATATAACCTCCTCAACACGAAAAAAAATCATTATTCTCTAATAATTGTTTGCAATGTATAATTTTTTCCTTACACTAAAAATAGATAATTTATCAAAAAAATGATTGCAATTTATGTTCCCATTGTAAAAATTAGAACAACACATTTAAACGAACAATATGGTTGTCGATTAGATCGTTATCAGTCTTTATTATGTGTAATGACGTAATCTATATTTCATTTCATTGTGATTATTGACTTATAAATTGCCTTGATTATCGGTTAAACATTTTCATATGAAAATATTCATGTATATTAGAGAGAGGGTAAAGTCTGATGATGTCGATCTAATCGAAAACCATGATATTATTCGCTTATACATGTATTGTTTGTTCTAATTTCATGTTCATCAAATTGTAATTGTACCATTGATAATTCATAGTTCAAAATGAAAGTGTATATCTTATTTGTTTATATGAATAGTAGACGAAATTAAACAAAATCAATTAATTATCAACACAATGTGTACTTGTTATTATTATGTACACGTTAATTATTGTTGTCTGTTCAACTACAACAACAACAACAACAACAACACCAACAGTCAATGGGATTATTTTTTAGTGTGTAATAAATAAAAAAAAAATATGATTCATATAACAGATGATGATTCATAAATAAAAATTAATGAAAGAAAAAAAGATAATTAAAAGAAATGATGATGAAGAAGAAAGCAATTAAGATTTTAGACAGAGAATAAAAAAAAGAAAAGAAAGTGTTTTTCTCTTTTTATAAACATAACAATTGATTTTTTTTTGTAATGTAATGTAAAAATGTGTAGTTTATCATATAGAACAGTATACTGGTTGTAGAGATGATTAGATATTTAAACTCATTTGCCTAATGGACAACATGTGAAGTGATTGAAGTGGAAAAAAAAACCCAGATTTGAATCAAAAATGTGAAGATTAACAATAAGAAGCTGGTATATCCAGCTGACTAAACGCTCAGCCTTGATTTCACTGTCACCTGTCATCAGACTTAAAATAGCATAAACCTTTACTGTTTTGAATTTGCTTGTCGACAGTAACTGTTGTCAGCTAAGAGAACCATTAAGATATCGATAAGTACAAGATATCTGTTTTGTTATGGTAGTGTACTTCATATAAATCCATAGATGAAATCATAGACATCGTCTCAAATACAAATCCTTCTTGTCTCACAGTAAGAATGATGATACTATTAATCCAGGATACAATCTAGGATATCATGTTGATCGTTGGAAAATGAAGGTTTTTTTGCGTTTAGCCCACTGATAACAACAATATAAGAACTATTGCTTTTAGGCTCAAGTTTATACTAGTTTCACTTGGTTACTTCAAATTACCAATGAAAATTGTAATCAGGTTATATATTACATTCTAATGAAATGATTTATACTAATGATGAAGAAATCCAACTATTTATAAGGATTATATTATTTAAGGTGGTGTACGCTAGTTATGTTCACATAAGTAGTATATGATATCAAACGGAAATCAAACATCTGACAGGATTAGTTTGCAAATGATGATTTCACGGGAAGGTTTAGTAAATATGCTTAACAACTCTGTAATATTCGCTTAAATACAGATGTTGATGTCCGCAATTGAGTTTTCGTTCACAACAATACTATTAATGACAATAATAGTTGAAGAGTATTTTTTGTGCCGAAAAAAGAAAGTGAATGAACACATCTCTCCTAACTAGACTTATTAAGCATTATTGATTTAATCTAGAATATATAAAATTCATTCATTGAGACATTAGAAACATCTTCACAACTACCACGTAATGCAAGTTACCTGTGCTCACTAGTGACTAGCTTCGTGAGGGATCTCCGAGTTCTGGTGGGAGGACGTGACCAGTGAAGTTCAACCTGTTCGGTTGTAGACAGTAACTACCGAAGACTGTGTATGAGGTTGCGCAACTCTATGAATTGATCAAGTTAGACATCTAACACCGTTAGATACCGGCTCAGTGGACCGATGGTTAGGCCTTCGTCTACAATACCTAGGGTCCTGAGTTCGAATCCTGCGGGGTGCAGGAGTTGTGGATGCGCACTGTTGAGGAGTCCCATACCAGGACGAAACGGCCATCCAGTGCTTCCAGGTTTCTAATGGTGTTCTAACACTGATCGATTCATGGTTTCGAATAAAACTTAACAATCTTCACAACTACCCCGTAATAGAAACATATACACTGCATGATGTCTTCACTATTCCTAATATCATATCTATCATTTTTTCTTAAATGCCTTTAAATATGTATATTCATTTCGTTTCGATTACTTTTTTTGTTTGGTCAACTAAAGATTTGTGTTCACAGATAAGCTGTAAATAATTGATGATTTGAATAGATTTCATCTTCCAAGTACATTTATATAAATCTTCTTTTAAAAAAAAGTCATTTTCTCATTTGATTTATGATCAGTTTAATTATTTTTAATGTTGTGATAAATATTAGACATGAAGTGTTTTAAACACATTCTAATATGCTTTGATCATTGAATTAACTTTTGATATGAATTAGACAGCTGTGAATAAACGAATAATTGACATTTTCTAAAAAAAATAAAGTTTTTATTAGAGAATAAATGTTATAACAATTTACAATTCAATAGAATTAGGGAAAAGAAAAGCTGACTTGATTTATTAAATAATAAAAAAAATTTCAACTTTCATGTCAATGCATTCACCTCCGCCCCCCAACCCCGCCAATTATATATTATTTAAACAATCATTGACCGGTACCTTTGAATTGTTGACTCATTCAATGTACAATGATGATATTTCTGTAAAAATAATCAACATTTTATTGATATATATTTTTTACTGTAATTATTGAAGAAAAGATGTGTATAAAATAGATGATGAGATTTCCATTCAAAGTAACACAAATAAACAGTTACAAAAAATTAATCCATTTTTAAATTGTATATAATATGAAATATTAATTCAGTACTGAATTATATCGGATGAAAATACTAAATAACCCTATAAATAAAAAAACTCTGTTATGTTTAACCATGGGGAAATTTAAAATCATTTTTATAGGTCGACTTGTTTCCCTCAATCTTTCGTTGTAGCTAAACAAAATCTTTAGTTGATAAATCTAAAAGAATAATTTGCCTGCTTTTTTCACAAAATGAAGAAATATATATGCTAATCACTTGATAAAACAATTCGGGAAAACAAATATCACTAAGTCACTGTTTCGTATGCTAAAGTTTACGTTAGCATTAATCATAACTGTTGCAAATTACTTCAGAGTAATTAAATAAAACAAACTTCATTCATACTATGTTTGAGATAAATAAGAAACAAATCGATATCGGTCAACAGAAAGTTAACCAATGATACAGTAACAGTCAGTCAGTCAGTCAAATGCAACGTAGAACTTCGTACCTAAGTACATCAGTTCATGTTGCCATACCAAATTAGCACAGAGATGTAATTGTTGATTCAAATCCAATAGTAGAAGAAGTAGTAAAGGTATTAGAAGTAATCGGAGAGGTTAGGATTAGAGGATATTATTTAAGAAGTATGATTTAGTGAGATTGGTTTAGGAAGACAAAACTAGTGTTGAGCAATCCAGCAGATTAGGATTTGAGAGAACACAAAGCATAAATGCACCGGCACCATTGCGAACGGTTTTGAGCCATGTCATTCACGGTCTCTAACAATCGATTATTATCATCTTGTGGACCCCAACTGGGTAGTCGACAACTACCGATATGACTCAGTCCACTTGTTAGTGACTTCATGGATTTGTGTCATGTTTTGGTTTGGCCGCCCCTAACTTTCTTCCAACCTGCTTCTACACCTCAACTGATGAACTTTCACTGCTTCATCTATTGATTTACCATTCTTACCTAGCACCCGTTACTTCAAATTAGTCAGAATAATTTAATTTTTTTTAAACATTTTTTTTATTCATTTATATTTTAGAATTTCATTGTTCGTGTCAATCAACGAAATTCCAGTATGGTATTGACACGTGTCTGTCCACCGTCAACCATGTTATATCCGATCAATAAACGGCATCATCATTTACATGGTAATGACGAAAAAAATAATGGTGATGATAAAAACAATCGATATCGTAATGGTTATTTACCAATTAAACATAATTTAATTGAAATTCTACCATATGATGGTTATTGTTTAACTGGAGATAAGAAAATGCGTTTAATATTTAAAAGTTTAATACATTTATTAGAATTCTATTTACTTGTTCAAGTAAAGTAAGTTAATGATAATAATTATTATTATTATTCTTATCATGTTGTGCTGTTTTTGTTAGTTGTTTGTGTCACAATTTTGATGTCACTTGTAGAGTAATTGTTGTTGATCTTGGTTGTCACTTCATATTAGTTTATATCAGCCCTATAACATGTGGTCAAAGACTCGTCTGTATTACTAATCAGTCTGGCTCTTAATTAATGTATTGTTCACGTAGCAGTTCGCGACCATATAATCGATCTAGAATGAACCGGGATATTGTTACCTTTTGGACATAGAGCATTCATTTTACAGAAAAATTAGGGATTTTATTTAGATTCAACTGTGTCATCAATTAAAAATCTAACCAACTCATTTAAATGTATGAGTGGAAACTGCTAGAATCCGAAATAAATTAAAATTTGAATGGTTAACTTTGTTAGATTTTATTCCTTTGGATATGTCTACTGTTACGCCTGCATGTAAACACGTCATTTTGATATACTTGAACTATTACGAGTTTACCTAGTCAGAAAACGAGGGTAAGGATCGAAGATCCGACGACACGACATGCTACTCAAATCCGATTATCCCAACCCCCATATTGAGTAAAAATAAGAAGACGTGATATGAAGTAGAACGTGTATTCTACAAGCATCCAGAAAGTACGAGGTCCGAATCCAGAAGAGAATCAGGATCCCGGACTAGGGATCCGGGCACGAGCCCTGGTCCTGGTCTTAGTCATAAAACGTTACAAATAATGCGTATTTATACATTTTTTGTCGAATAGGAAACAGCATCGAAGTATGTGACATTGACAGTTAAGACGACCAATAGAAAGTAACATTTGAAGTGACACTGATAGTCAGGACAACCAATAAGAAACAACATTGGAGTATGTGACATTGATATCTAGGACAACTATGAAATTGACCAGTAGGAATTAACCAATAGGAATTGACCAGTAATTCTCTCGGGATATTGGATGAATATCCTAACACCTTCCCTATTTCATAACTCAAAGATCTCCATAGAAATCAATAAACACCAAATATTTTGAGACAAGAAATCTCAGACTAGTCGTTTTAAGTTGTCGTATAATTAAACTGAACACTTTTGCTTACTGTTATAAATTAAGTAGTATATAACTCTTCAAAAATCTTTTTCGAAAGTGCTAATCTGTCTGATTTTTTGTCTTAAAGACATGTCGTGATAAATTGAAGTGAAGATTTTCATGAGTTACAGTCTGATCTTATTGTCATTTAGAACTTACCATAATGATGCAACATTTATCCATGTCACGATATTTTCAAGTAATCCGTTTCTGTGATACTGATCAATCATGTTTAGCTTCAGTTCATTAACTAAATACCCAAAGGAATTTTTTGATAAAATTTTTCAGCTTCTACAAACTTCAGTAACTGAACTAGAGTTCCACTTTTTCATAAAGTTTGAGATAGCGAAAACAAAATGATCATAAGTATCCATGGCTTAAACTGTAAAATGAATAGTTCAATCAATGACTAACATTGTCATTAAAATGAATTTATCAGTAACCAGTAATTATGAATGACATTGACTAAAATCTGCTGCAGCTACTCTGCAGTATGAAGTCTTCGCCTGGTTGTACGCCACGAACTTAACGATATCCATTAATTGTGTACTCTTCTGCCATAGGACTAGTCGTTTGACATTCCGTGAGTTGGCGTTTCAGCTTCGTGAATATTTAGTCTCATTGATAACTGTTACAGAATCCTATCGATGCTTATAACCCAAGCAAAAGGTTGTGAGTGCAATCCCAATATCAAAATGGCAGATCAAGGTGAATATACGGTGACCATATTTGGAAATATAAGAGTTAAAAAAATTTAAACATCTAACCAAACTATTAATGTCTAGTAGAAATTAGGATGAATACCATGCTAACATTTTATCATGTTCATTTAATATTTCATTAAAAAACACAATTTATATACATGAATTGATTGAATGAAATGAAATATCTTTATGGAAACAAAATTTTTACAGTGATCACTAACCTACAACTTCAAGTGTATAAGCTTTTAACTTGGACCTGTTCGTCATAAAGTATGTGCTTGATAAGACAATCTAGAGTTTCTATACTTTTCTTTTAATTCATAAATTCCAATGTAACTTCATATCATGATGCTAAAAGACATGTAAATTGGAAGATCTCTATAAAGTGTATGGTTTGAACATGCTAACATTAAACTTTCCATTTACACCCGTATTCATCATGATATCAAAGAATTTCCAACTTTCTTTGTTAATTAACTTTGGTATAGTAAGCGACACAGATTTATATACTGGTAAAATTATAAAAAAGTAATAAGACGTCAAAATAATGGAACAAATCGATAACATAATAATTGGTTCATTGCGACAAAAGCATTCCAACCGGTTTATAGACAGACCATAAAAATGTTTGGTAATACATCAAACTACTATGCACTAACAAGTAGTGTAGCAAGCTTCAGTAAAAATCTGATTTACGCAGCTTAATAGTGGTTTGATGATAATTCTTAAGCATTTTGCTTAACACTTTAAAATTTCACTCCTATGAGCGTGTTCTACATTGCCATTTAAACATGAACTCAAAACATTAATCTTTATGGATTGCAATTTGTCCTTAAAAAAGTTTTTTTTTGGCTCATTCGATGATGAAGAACACTTTATCTAACTACTACGTTTTTCTGTTAAACTTGAATTGTGCATTGTTAAGCAGTTAATAATTAATCACAGTGTATATACGTCATTGTTTCATGCAAACAGAACTGGGTAAGAATTTTCTAGAATGTTACTGATTAACGAACTCACTGACAAGTGGACTGAGTCATGTTGGTAGATGTAGGCTACCTGGTTTAGGTCCGCGAGATGATAGTCACCGATGATTAGAGACCTTGAACGGCATGACTCAAAATCGTTTGCAATGGCGCAGGTGCATCCATTCTTTGTGTTCTATGAAACTCTAACCTTCTGCATTCCTCATAATCTCTACCTTTCTCCTTCTAGATTTATCTTACTGAATTATACTTTTCAAATCATATCTTCGCTCCCTAATCTTCTCCATTACTGCTAATACTTCTATTATTGCTATCACTCTTGGATTTGAACTGACAGTTGCGTCTCTGTACTGATAGGGCAAGGTAACCTGAACTAATGTACTTATGTACGAAGTTCTGCGTTGTATCTGTCTGATAAAAATTTAATTAGGGTTATAATGCTCAATATTATTTAAATTCGAATTTTTGTTAGAATGTAGAATACATTCAGCTGGAAAAGTCTAAAACAGGCAAGGGACCATAAGTCTTGGATTTCACCATCAACTACAATTAATCTTTTTTTCTTCTAATTGAGATATTTCTTTATATTTAGAAAAGTTCTTCAAACTCATCTCTGTAAAGTGAGTGTTCTTATTCATACCATTTCTTTGATGATTAAAAATGGTTTTTTAAAACCATGAATCGATCAATGTTAGACAATCTTCACAACCTCGTAATGCAAATTACTTGTGCTTACTAGTGACTAGCTTCGTGAGGGATCTCCGAGTTCTAGTGGGAAGACGTAACCAGTGAAGTTCAACTTGTTCGGGTGTAGACAGTAACTCCTACCGAAGACTATGTATGAGGTTGCGCAACTCCGTGAATTGATCAAGTTAGACATCTAACACCGTTAGATACCGGCTCAGTGGTCCGATGGTAAGGCGTTCGCCTACGATACCGAAGGTCCTGGGTTGGAATCCTGCGAGGTGCAGGAGTCGTGGATGCGCACTGCTGAGGAGTCCCATACCAGGACGAAACGGCCGTCTTTCAGTGCTTCCAGGTTTCTAATGGTGGTCTAAGATTGATCAATTCATGGTTTCAAAAATGTGTAACTTAACAATCTTCACAACTCCATAATGTAAAAATGGTTTCATTAGTTGAATAAGCTTAAAATTCATTGTATAAAAATCTGTAAAATCAAATTCAACTCTTTCGTTCTGATTTTTATCAAAGAAGAACTCGTGGATCATTTCTTCGTTTACCATCAGCAATATGTCGAGCAAAATCACTGAAAGAATTAGAACAGCTCAATAAACAAGGAATAGGTAAGTGAATAAAATTTTATATTTTTAAACTTCTGTACCCAAAGCTAATTTTTAAATAATATTGTTATTATGTTTCAAGACGAAATGAAGCCGTTGACTGTTATCAAACTAAAATTTAACTTCTATCACAGCCTTATTCTTCATGGTTGTATAATCATTAGGAGATTCCAATAAAATGATCCATTTTGAATCTTTCTTAAAAAAAAGATTTAATTATTAACGATATAAGTTTCTTAGATTTAAAGCTATTATTTTCACTACACAATTGTCAAGAAGGTTTACTTTCATTGAAATGATGAATCGATCATTATTAAACCACCATTAGGAATCTGAAAGCACTAGACGACTGTTTCATCGTAATATGTGACTTAAGGGCAGTGAGCATCATTTTCAATGAAACTCGATAATCTTCACAACTGTACAATGAAAATAAAGAAATGTGCTCACTGGTTAATTACTTCGTAAGGAAGTTATGGAAGTTTTAATAAAGAGTCATGACCAATGTTGTTAGACCCTGTCGGGTATGAAGAAGTTATCCACCAAAGATATTGGGTGAGGCTTCTCAATACCTTTGATCGATTGAAATTAGGCAGTAACACTGCTGAATGCTGGCTCAATGATCTGATGGTTAAGTGTTCGAGCGCGAGACCTAAGGTCCTATGTTCACTCCACACTGGCGGGGGTCACGGGCGTACAGGGCTTATGAGTGCCATACTAGGACAAATCGGTCGTCCAGTTCTTTCAAGTTTCTAATGGTGGTCTAACATTGATTGATTCATCATTTCGATGAAAATAAAAGTAAGAGCTGAATTCTGTATCCTATTTGATCGACTAAACAGTTGGAAATGTTATTTTGTTCATTTGCTTAGTTATGTTGAATGTGGTTACTACATATAACTGTACCATAAATATTCGTAACCAATTTCATTTGATTGAAAAGTTTATGGGACCAAATCGTTGAAAGCCCTAGCCTTATGTGAAATTAACAACTATCTGACATAATTATTCACTATCGCCCTACTTTTTATAACAGGTATAGTCACTGACTCTTCACAATACGAAACGCAACTACCATTCACTAACACCTCTGATATATACTATTATAAGTGCTGTTACTTCATTGTTCAGTCAGCAATTTAGCGATTATTTTTAGTTGCTAATGACTTGTACTAATAGGCAATCAGTAAATGTTGTTGCGTTTTTCAAATTAAATGGTTCTAATAGAAACTTTGATTTAAGAAATTTTACTACTACTGTTCAATATGATATTGAACATTTTTCAATTCAAACTACTCAGTCTATAAAATGTAACCTTATTAAAGTATATTGAACAACTTTCAATTTTTCATTTAGATGCATAAGAATTTATTGACTAATACTCTTGATTTTTAAATATATTTCAAATAAGTGACTAAAAATTATATATATATATATATACATTCAGTCAGGGTACAGTTTTTATACTAATCAACTCAATTACTAATGATTATCTGTTGTTTGAAATATTTAAAAATGGGATTCATTTTTTAAATATAAACTCTGAATATATATAGAAAATTATTATTTCATTGAATTCTGTCATGAGTTTGAATTAAAAAAAAATCATAACTGTGACAGTTGAATTGTCATCATCATATTTTGTCTTGTCCACTAGTTTGAATCCACTGTAGAGCAATAATGATGACTCAGCGTTCAAACTAGTCTTAGGAATGTTATGTTGTTTTTAAAACTGAGTAATCATCACTCTGAGTCATTTCAAATTGTTCACTTTTATCATCAGTTCAAATAAAATATTTTGAAGGATTTGAATTATTCGTTTATTGATAGTTTTGAATGAATAATTCTGATCAATTTTTGTTGGCTCATGAGCATACATTATGCGTGAAATCTCTTCATACAGCCAATTATTTTTTTCAAATATTGTGTATATTAAAGTAGATAGATTACGGTAATTAAAATCCACGCATTAAAATCATGAATCGATCGATATTGGACCACCATTAGAAACCTGGAAGCATTGGACGGCCGTTTCGTTCTAGTATGGGACTCATCAGTGGCAGTGCGCATCCACGATTCCTGTACCTCACAGGATTCGAATATCAGAAATGCGATAATTCAAAGCTTCTTGTAGTAATTATTTAAATATCACAAATATATGGATATTTGTATGCAACGGCTTAATGAATAACACTGAGTTTGGAGTGGAAAGTACTCAGTTTGAGTTGTAATGTAAAATTTAACACTGAGCTATAGGTATATGCAACCAAGGAGTCCGAAATAAGGTGAATCTTGCATCATGTATCTCACTCCTAACTATAAACTATCTTTTCCATTTAAAACGTACAAATTCTGTAATAAATACATGAACTGAAGTTATGTAAACTTCTTTCAAAAATCTTAATTACACCAACCCCTTATTCTCTTTATAACATCTGCTTATTTATGGTATGTGCATTTGTTTTATCTCCACCTTGATTATTTAGAAACATCCATGGAAGTTCTCTTCAGTTGTATTCTTTCACATTTTTCTAACCAACTATCCCTTGGTGCATGATTTCAGCTCACTAGTATACAGACAGAATCATTTTTTGCAATACTACTGACTAAATGTTAAAAACTCTACTAAAATAACAACTTTTATACATTCTCTATTAACTACTAATATTTTCTTAAGTGAATTAAATAAACAAACAGCTACTTTGAATTTCATTCATCAACTATCACACACTATAGACAATGAATTGAAATGACAGAAAAAACTTGAATATATTTTCTCTTGTCAAGATATCTACAGTACATATTTACTTACTCACTTACTTACTTACGCCTGTTACCCCCAATGGAGCATAGGCCACCCACCAGTTTTCTCCAACCAACTCTGTCCTGGGCTTCCCTTTCTAGTTCTTTCCAGTTTTTGTTCATTCTTCTCATATCTTTTTCTATTTTTCAAGGCGTAATGTGTTCCCTAGCCTTGGCTTGTTTTGTGACACAGTTGGGTGCTTTTCACAATTTGTGTCCTATCCACTTCAAAGGCTTCTTCCTGATTTCCTCCTCCACTGGAATTTGGTTTGTTCATTCTCAAAGTAGGTTGTTGCTGATGGTGTCTGGCCAACGAATACGAAGTATTTTGCGTCGACAACCGTTAATAAATGCTTGCATCTTCTGGATGATGGCTCTCGTAGTTCTCCAATTTTCCTCCCCATACAATAGAACTGTCTTGACATTTGTACTGAAAATCCTGATTTTGGTGTTGATTGATATCTGTTTGGAGTTCCAGATGTTGTTCAACTGTAGAAATGCAGCCCACGCTTTGCCGATCCGCGCCTACACATCTTCATCGGATCCACCTTGATTGTCGATGATGCTGCCCAGATATTTAAAGGTTTTTATGTCCTCCAAGGCATCTCCATCAAGAGTGATTTGGTTGACGCATGTTGTATTGTATCGTAGAATCTTACTTTTCCCTTTATGTATGTTGAAAGCTGCTGCTGCTGCTTTACCAGTCGTCTTCTCTTTCATTTGTTGTTGCGTATGCGGCATCTACAGTATTGTTATGAAAAATGTCATTTATTTATTTGAAACAAGCAATACACAAGATTACATAATCTTTTTGTATGCCATTTCACAATATGGACACAATGAAACAAACAAAGCATCATCCTCATCATAATAAAGAAGCAACATGATGACACTTTGTTTTTACTAATCAATACACCACGAATGAATAAGGTTCCAGATATTTTTCAACTGTAGAAATTCATTATAATTACAGTATGGTTATTCATTGTGTCATGTAACTAAAGGATCAGATGATTTAAAAGAACTTGTGTGTATTCATTTTGTATATTGGTAAAGTTTATCACGTTCAGAATATTAAATTATATACATATAGTAAGCCTTTGTCATTAAGAAGTATAGACGTGAAATAATACACTATGAAGTTATGCAGGTTTCGAATAGATAGATATGGTGGCCGATTTACTGCATGTTCTTAAGCTCGGTAATTAGCTCGTCTAGACAATCGTTACTTACTAGCGTCTGACGGTTTATAAATCAGAAGACGAACTCGTAGTGTTGAATACGTTTATTTGGGATACACCACAAAGCGAAGCGGAGAAGTAGTGAATAAAACGAATGAAGCGACGTGAATTGGAGAAGGCTGTTGAGCCAACTCCCTAGATTACAATGCGAACGAATGGGCGAAGGAAGCGATGTGGAGGCTAGTGAGCCAATTCAAAGAGATAGAGCGTGACTAAGAATATATAGTCAGACAAATATGAGACAGACATATGACAAGCGAAATAGGCATGCACACACATGAATAAAAGCGATGAATGATTGACAAGGTCAAATGACAAGTGGGACACGTCATGTGAGCTCATACAGACCAGACAATAATAAGAACGAATGGTACATATAAATTGTTGCAATACAAATGGCTTGGTTAAATAAATTAATCGAAAGGGCTTAACCAAATGTTAAATGTAAGCGAACTCGAATATATGTGGAGGCACCACAGATAGATAGATAAATAGATAGTTAGATAGATGTGTGGATAGATAGATAGATCAAGTTGGTGTTGTAAGTTAAAGAGTTATGGTTGGAGTTTTCATCATGAAATTACACGAACTGTATTTCGCAAATACTGTGTAAGCCAGAGGGTAACCATTTATTTTCATTCTTTATTAAATATGAAATATCTGGTATTATTGAGCATTTTTCCAGTTCTTTTAATGTATTAATACAGCAAATAAGAGTGTAATTTTCACTACATACTTCATTTAAATTTATCTATATGTATGTCTTTTATGAACAACCTACTGTAGGCCATCCGAATTTGTTAGAAGAAAAAAAGCTAAATAAAATGAAATTTACAACTTGCAAATATGTTCTCACTTGAAATTATTCTCTTTTACTCAGCATTTACCTCCCTAGACGAATACAAATATGTTAAATATTGTACAGGTGTTAAACTTTCAGAAGCAGATACGCTACAAAAT